TACATTAAAATCTATTTTCCTTAAACAAGAACCCAGCAATAAATAAATATTAATCGAATAAACTTACCTTTTCTATTGTCAATCAGAAAATCTTGATGACATTAAGAATTTCTTAGTCGCCATATTTTTTTCCATGAAAACAAACGTTGTTATGATCAGAATCAAAGGAAGTTGATTTTCGGAACTCTCGAGAATTTAGAGTTCCGAATGTAAAACTGAAACACAAAACACGGTGCGTCCGTGAAAGCAACTTTTATGGACACTTTTTTTGGACAAATCGTCGTGTCCAAGTTTTGTTGGGTACTAACATGCAAATACCCAATTAGGGCGTTTTAAGCATATTCAGCGACATTTCTTATTGGGTATACCCAATAAGCAAAAAGTACCCAATAAGTACACTCTTGACATGAAAAATACCCAATAAATGCACTCTCGTAAACACGTACAGACGGACGGACATACCCTTCTACTGTTCAAGCGGTGGGGTATAATAAATGTTAAAATGTTCATGCTGCTATTGACGTCTTTTATTCTCATGTCTCCGCTTCAAAAGGAATACATATTGTTTATTTTTGTTTGTTCTTTGGTTTCAATACTACAATCCTTCAAAATATTCTTCACTCCCATCCTCTAGTGCTTCAAATATGTGTCATTAAAGTTTTTGCACATATGAACTTGCAATCATGCTTCCGCCTTTCAGTACTTTCAGTACTTTGATTGAAACTTGTTTCCAAATCCTTTTTGATCTTTATACTTCTTGCCTGTATTTGTTCTTGTATTTCTTGCTTGTCATGTTCAAATAAAATAGGGTTTAAACTAAACAAGACTGAAACCACCTGATTGTGGGTGAATCAAAATTATATTGTCGTAATTTCTCTATTAAGATATCATGGCTGACAAAATCAAATGCCTTCCTAAAATCCAGAATAGCTATGGCAATTAAACTCCTTCGGTCAATTGCATGTAATCAGTAAGTTTGGTTAGTGCTGCTTGACAAGAGTAAAATTCTCTAAAACAAGACTAAGACCTTATAACGATGTCCAAATCTCTCGTAAATTCACATATTTGATTTTCAATATGCTTTTCAAAATTTTCTGACAAAGTTGGTAAGATAGATAGATATCGGGCGGTAGTTACTTGGATAATATTTATCACCTTTCTTATATTTGGGGATGACTTTAGCATGTTTTAGCTGGGAAGGGAATATGCCATTAGTAAAGCTAGTATTATAGTGCTGCTATCCTATTAGTTGACAATTCTATCCTATCCTATCGTGAATCCTGCATCCAAAAGCTGCACAAAAATCATTAAGATTCAGACAAACATCGACTGTGTGGTAGGGGATCATAAAAATATACATGTATACTGTATATGTTCTTCTTGGCTATTACATAAATGATGATCAGATATTCCATAAAATTTTCTAACTAGGTCAGCGCGTGTGGATACAAAAATTCACAGAAAAACAATATCAAATTTTAAAACATTCATACATATAGAAGTAATCACATTAATTGATATGGACTTAGGGTAAATAACTAAAATCATTTGGTTCATTAATATTTCTTTCAAATGATACAAGTCTGATCATACGATTTAATGTATTTTAAAAGAGTAAAGAAACGTCAGAAATTAAAAGCACTTCTTATTAGCGGATACTTGTACATTAATGTTGTAAATCAGAGAGAAAACATTCCTTATTAGAATTCTTTAAAATCTCTGTATTGAATTTCAGTGTGTTTTCCCTTACGCTGCATGCTGTTAGATCTACGGGTTGCACAAACAGGGTAATGGTCAGAGATATCTATATGGGTGGTACTTGAATTTTATCAGGTCGGTTAGTGTAAAATGATCAATAAGGGTACATGAGGTGTTAATTATTCTAGAAATTATGGTAAATAGTTGACAAAGTTCTAATTCATCTAGAGCAGATGTCAAAGATTGAGGGGGGTCAATAAGCAAATTTACATTAAAATCACCTGGAAATATGATTTCTTGGTCATCACAGTAGGGGGCACAATTCATTTCCCTCGCTAGGTCCTCAACCCAGCAGGAGGGTAAATAGATAGTCATCCATACTGAAATCTGAATCACTAATATGATCTTGTTAAAAAGTCTCACACAGCCCCAGCACATCCATAGTTCGTTCGTATTGTAGCATCAATTTCAGTTTATCCGATTTTTGTACAAGGTGACAAATATTAAAATTTCCAAAACGCAAACCCCTTTTAACAAGACCAAATCCAGTGTTCACCGGAGTACATTTATTTGTGACGCTTATAGTTTAGTTTGAATCACGATTTCCACATGCAAGACTTTTGTTAATCTTATTTTAGGACAAAGGGATGTTGCACCGTATTCTTCACACACAAAGCTGATAATATCTTTCACACCGGTGACCATTGCATCTTTTATTGGCATGATTTCAGATACGAAAACACGAATGTTTGAATTCCTCTTCCGTTGATCCTTGATCCGTGACTATTTCGCAAAAATCATTTTCTACTGCTTCCATATCGCACTGATTTGATAAATCGTTTTCTCCAGCCTGGATAATGATATTTTCCAAAGAAGATACATCGTATTGACGTATTTTTAAATAAATGAGACACTGGCTCTTCAGTTAGTACTTACACGAACATTTGAATTTAACCCACGGTCTTAATTCTTTGCAGAATTGAACTGCCAATAATATTAATGAGTGTTGATGTTTTAAATTGCTCAGAATTTGGAGAAGTTTTTGAGGGGAATTCTTCCTTGTTTTTGTGTGTGTGTTTTTTTTGTACACATGTGTTCTGGTTCTGTATTTGTTGAACATGCATTTTCTGATGTTTCCGAAAGATTATTGTCACACTGCACATGTCTAGAAGTGACGTTTTTGGATCTCTTCGGCAGATCATCGGTACAATTGCCTTGTTCTTGAAGACTTTCGAAATTGTTTTAGTACTTGAACTGGTAAAGTTTTTCCGTGTATTTTTTTCACCAAGTTTCTTTTATAATGACCCAATATCTTGTGTTAGGCGATGAACCACTAACGAAAGTTCCTCCAGAGCAAAATCACCACACTTGACATGTTCTTTTGTTTCATTACACTACACAATATTTGATGAATTCTTCATAGAAGTAAACGCCATAATTATGTGGTGGTGGTTGGGAAAGGATAGTATTTGAGTTGTTAATATCATAAACATAGGAACCTATTTTTTTTTCAAGGAATTTCTCGAACATGTTGTCGCTGAACTACCATGATTGTGTAGTACTAAGGTGCTTCTGTATACTATAGCCTTAACAGATCTACAATTAGTCTTAAAAATATAGCCATCTCCTCTAGTAATTTTCTCGAAAGTTAGCTCAAGATATGAGAAAATGGTGTCATATTTTACCTGGGCAAAACTCACAGTAATGCTCCATTTGTTGGTGGTTACTTTTAGGAAGCTAGGTAAGTCCACATTGATTTGTATTTTATCCTGACTGGCATTTGTTGCATTTGTTAGTCTAGAAAATGAATCGAAAATTGATCTTAAAAAGCTTGAACATGAACTTTTATCCATTATTTGATCTACCGTAAATCTGGAAATTTTTAGTGTAGATAAATTTTTAGCAAATTTCCGCTTGCATTGCATTCGCAAAAATATTTTTCTTAAGAATAAATCAACATGTAAAGAAAATTTTTTTCTGAAAGTTGGTGTCTATTTTTAACTCAGTGAATAGGCGTCGGTAAGCACTGGTCATTTTTAAAAAGAAACCTGTTTATACTACTGTAACTACAAGTTAATTACCCTTGCATGTAAATTGCCCTCATTATATGCAATATCGTCTGATGTTATGTCCCTTTTTTATTATTTCGCCAAGAAAGAGAGACCAGTTATTTTATCTAACCATGTATCAACATGGGCGATAACTCGAACTTAGTGCCTTTACTAGAGAGTTCCAAATGAAAACACGGCGTATAAATTTTAGGTGAGAAAAAACCAAACGATGAGAAAATTAGTTATATTTTTGTCTTGAGTTGGATTATACTTTAGATAAAAAGGCATACACAACCCCTTATAAGGTTTGTTATAATTAATTTAGAAGTCATTAAAGTGCAAATATTTTTGTTTTTTATCTTCAAAATTGTTTCGGAGCGATTCTGCAATTTCTTGCCACGTAGCGAGTATATCGGTAGTATTCTACCTGTGCATACTAATTTGAAACATATTAAACTGATATGAATATCTTTAGTGATTTTTATTTTTAGCGTCAGTGACAATTCGCAAAATTTTAAAGCGTAAAAATTAATCAACAGCTCTTTGACCCAATTTCGCAAAAATAAATCGACGCAAAAATTTCCAGATTTACGGTATTATATTGTATTTTTAACACAGGAATCATAATCCAATCAAAAACTGTAGAGGTATTTCAGGTAAAATCAGGAGCAACTTGAAGCACGTCTGATCTCTTCGGTGTCTTATCAGCATAATTATGTATTTGTATCGTCTGTTAGCTTTTATCTTCAATAGATGCCTATGCACATCAGAAGAAAATAATTCAGAATACTGCGCTTATCAATGCAAATATTTCATTTGTAAGAACAGACTAAAGATGTCTACTAGTAATCCTGTTGCCCAAACAAAGTCTAGGAACAAAATGTTTATAAATATACAAATAAGCAAATTGGTTACACCATTTTAAAGCGTAAAATCTAACTTCTCATTCTTTAGATTATGCATTAAGTGTTCATAAACATATTTTGTACATTATACTTGCAATACAATGCTTACATTCGCTTACAGGGAAACAATAAAACTTGACAAAGACTTTAGAGTTTTTACCTGTTGATAAAAACTGGCCAAAATAATAAGAAAAGAATATAGCAGGCTTAATAAAAATATAATTAAATTAAAATGTTTACTTGCAGCTGGATTCGTCGTATGAGTTTGTAAAGAATAAGTGGCATTTAGGGAAAAAAACGTAAATTGAAGTTTCATATTTTTCTTTTTTTCACCTTTTTATTTCAGAGTACTTTGTGTTCTGGATAAAGTCTATTCATACCTACTGTGGTTCTGACAATACAAACGATACGAAACCTGTAGTTGTTATTGTTGCAACACACTGGGAAGAAGAAAATAAAAAGTTCAAGGTTAGATTATTATTATTTAATGAAATCTTCGTTTACAACGCACCATCACAAGATATTTTTATGTATAAAGAACTTTTTTTTACATATTGAACTGTAATCTTTTGGTGAATTGCACGTGTAAGTCTTGAATAATATGCATTTTACTATGGTACCGACAAGATCGATATTATAAATAACGCATTCCAAAATCAAAACAGAAAATCTTTTTTTCTGTTTTAAGCATTTTACCCTTAGGTATTGACATAACTCAACAAATAACACAGTTTACAAGATATTTATTGGTGCGAATATCAGAAGTTTAACGAACGCAAACACATAGCTAGATTTTACGGAGTACATTTCCTCCCAAAACTATCACTGAAACAGTTTTTACTACCACATTACAATTTGAAAAAGGCAAAAATCTACAGGGTAAATTTCCTCTCAAAAATGACACTGATACAGTTAACATACAGTAGGCAATTCAAAGGCGACAATCTTTGATATAACAAGATTTCACGGAGTAAATTTCCTCCCAAAGAATATCACTGATACAGTATTCACTACAACAATTACAATTTAGAAATATCAAAAATCTACAGAGTAAATTTCCTCTCTAAATTCACATTGGTACATTGTACATACATTATTTCAAAGCCAAAGCAACCATCGTTTACATAGCTAGATTTTACGGAGTAAATTTCCTCCCCAAGACTATCACTGAAACAGTTTTTACTACCACATTACAAATTGAAGAAGGCAAAAATCTACAGAGTAAATTTCCTCTCAAAAATGACATTGATACAGTGTAAAAGACAGCTACATTTTAGGGGGTAAATTTCCTCCCAAAGAATACCATTGATACATGTGTGTTCACTACTTACATTACAGTTTAAAAAAAGCAAAAATCTACAGGGTAAATTTCCTCTCAAAATGACAATGAAACAGTGTAATAGACAGCAACATTTTAGGGGGTTAATATCCTCCCAAAGAATGTCAATGATGCAGTGTTAACTACTAACATTGCAGTTTGGTAATAACAAAAAATCTACAGCGTAATCTTCGTCTCTAAATTCACATTGGTGCCTTTTACATTCAGTCTTTCAATGCCAAAGCAACGATCATTTATATAGCTAGATTTTACGGAGTAAATTTCCTCCCAAAGAATATCACTGATACAGTGTTCACCACTACAATTACAATGTGAAAATAGCAAAAATCTACAGGGTAAATTTCCTCTCTAAATTCACACTGGTTCATAGTACATTCAGTATTTTAAAGCCAAAGCAACGTTCGTTTACACAGCTAGATTTTACGGAGTAAATTTCCTCCCAAAGACTATCACTGATATAGTGTTCACAACTACATTACAATTTGTAAATAGCAAAAATCTAGAGAGTAAATTTCCTCTCAAAATGACATTCATACAGTAAAATACAGTAGTCAATTCAGAAGCGACTATCCTTTACATAACAAAACTTTACGGAGTAAATTTCCTCCCAATGAATTTCACTGATACAGTGTTCACTACTTACATTACAGTTTGTTATTAACAAAAATTTAGAGAGTAAATTTCCTCTCTAAATTCACGTCGGTGCATTGTACATTCAGTATTTCAATGCCAAATCAACCATCGTTTACATAGCTAAATTTTACGGAGTAAATTTCCTCCCAAAGACTATCACTGATACAGTGTTCACTACTAACATAACAGTTTGGTAATAACAAACATCTGAGAGTAAATTTCCTCTCTAAATCCACGTCGGTGCATTGTACAGTCAGTATTTTAAAGCCAAACAAACTATCGTTTACAAAGCTAGACTTTACGGTGTAAATTTCCTCCCAAAGAATATCCCTGATACATTGTTCACCACTACATTTCAAAATAGAAAAAAAAATCTACAGAGTAAAATTCCTCTCAAAATGCACGTCAGTGCATTGTACATTCAGTATTTCAAAGCCAAAGCAACCATCGTTTACACAACTAGATTTTACGGAGTAAATTTCCTCCCAAAGAGAATAACTGATATATTGTTCACAACTACATTACAATTTGAAAATAGCAAAAGTCTAGAGAGTAAATTTACTCTCAAAATGACATTCATACAGTAAACAGACAGTAGTCAATTCAAAAGCAAATAGCCTTTATATGACAAAACTTTACGGGGTAAATTTCCTCCCAAAGAATTTCACTGATACAGTGTTCACTACTAACATTACAGTTTGGTAATAAAAATCTACAGAGTAAATTTCCTCTCTAAATTCACATTGATGCAATGTACATTCAGCATTTGAAAGCAAACGCAACCATCGTTTACATAGCTTGTAGATTTTACGGAGTAAATTTCCTCCAAAAGAATATCACTCATACAGTGTTTACTACTACAATTACAATTTGAAATTAGCAAAAATCTACAGAGTTAGTGTCCTATCAAACATGACATTGATACAGTGTATATTGGGTCCTTTCGACAGCTTAACTTTACGGAGTAAATACCCCCCCCCCCCCCAAAGTATAGCACTGATACACATGTACAGTTTTCAACATATCTATAAAACGTTAACATTTTCAAGTTAACAAAATCTACAGAGTAAATTTCCTTTCAAAAATGACATTGGTGCATTGTACATTCAATATTTGAAAGCCAAAGCAACCATCGTTTACATAGCTTTTTTATTTGACCATGTTTACGGAGTTAATTTTCTCCCAAAGAATATCAGTGATACAGTGCTGCCTACTAATATTTACAGTTTGAAAATAGCAAACGTCTACAGGGTAAATTTTTTCTCTAAATTTACATTGGTTCATTGCACATTCAGTATTTCAAAGCCAGAGCAACCATCTTTAACATACTAGATTTTACAGTCATTATTCGCAGTAAGAAAATAAACATTATATATAGAAAACAGCAGAACATCAGAGGGTTAATTTCCTCTAAAAATAGATTTATACAATATACACTTTTTACAGGAAAAAAACATACATGTTACATCTTCTTGAAAAAAGACGTTCGAGGGACATTTTTATCTCAATATACTAATGATGTAATACATTATTTTAAATCTATAAATAAACAACATATAATCCATACAAACGCATACAGTTTTTTGACTGATTTCAAGCCGTATCCAACGAGCGGAGGGGGTTCAATGTGCATGCAGTAGCATGTTGACGTCACAAACAATATTCAAAGTACGTTGAAAACTGTATTGTCCAGTCTATATCCGAGAAGGAAAAAGGAAAAGGGGGGAAGTCCCTCTCGTGATTATTGTCGAACAATTTGATTTCAAACACATCTATCACATTTACTTTCTTTGACCGAAGCTCCACTTCTATGCTTTCCTTATGGCTTATGCAATTGAACACTTGCTGAATGCATTTCCAACATGTCCAAAAGAAATCTGGCCGCCATATTCTGAACAAATCCATAGTTGACCTATTGATAAAATTTTTAGACTCGTAAATCATCTCATATAATTGTTTTTAAAATTTCAATTTTTCAAAACCCATGGGCATTTATTTCTTCACGCATGCCGGGTTACATGTTGTGCACCATAGTCGAGCAGTGGTGCTTAGCACAATTTTTGTAAAATCGAAAAATAGTCTTTCCGTTGGTTTTTCGTATGGAAATTTCATTTATATAAAGAACACGTGCATATACCCCCAGTCTACACACATATTTAGACAAACTAAGACAAGATAAATTTTATTTGAGGATGATGTCAATTTTCTCATATAAAACAAGATCATATACTATTGCATTAATCACGATTTTGCATTCAGATTAGTTCAGACAGGACATATGCAATTAAGACACTAATTACTAACGCCTTAAATTGAATTTTAAAAGGAGAGTTCAGAGAAAAAATGAAAGCAACTACCTTGACCAAAGATCGAAATTCTCATGAACTGTAGTTAAGGGTAGAATTCATTTGAAGACACTACCTTAATTACACTTATCGTAACATATACATAATTATATGATTGTAAATATACCTTTATTGTTCAATGTTTGGTCTTGGTTTCAATATTTCTCCATTCATCAGAAAACAGTCACTTTTATATCCAGTCGTCACTTAAACCACTCCTGAAATAATTGCGTTCACAGAATGTGGGGCAGTCTAACTTGGTTTTCTTTCCCTAACTTGCTTCGTGTTCTCTGCGACTTTGAAGTAAATGAACCACTGGGCAGAATGCAAATATCCGATGCCGCAAATTTCAAAACTGCCATACACACAAATCATTATGTAGGATATAAAACGGGAAACGGAAAAATAAACTGTTTTAACACAGAACTTAAAAACAAATCCATTGTTTTCATGATAAATGAATTAGGATGTTGTGAGAGAAAATTGAGATGGTCTGCTTCTCATCATTTCACCATTTTCTTTTCCGCTGTATGAATCCCCGCTGTTACACTTGTTATCAACCCTTTGTATTGGATAGAGCTGCGGCCATGTCATAATAATCTGACCTAAATTAAGCTGTAATTTCAACATTTTCTCACCATCAAAATCTAAGCCTGTCAAAAGCACAAGTTGCCATACTATTTCTCACAATTTGTAGATATTTAACATTATACTCTGCTGCGAGTGCATTAACATTATCTACTCGTGTCGTAGTATTTATTATTTTTTGTAAATATGCGGTTTCAAAGATCATGAAGATGTGAAAAAAATCACGGACAATTATTCCTTTTCGATGATATATCTACACTAACACAATGAGATTAAAAAAGAGAAAAATAAGTTTTATATAAAAAAAAACTTTTTTTGACAATAGAACTCCAATATTGTAAATTGCTTTCTTTATGCCAGTGTCTTTCGATCCTATTGTAATTTATTATTTACAGATTATTTGATGTCAGACTGCCAAAATTGTGAAGAATGATAGTAAAAATTTGAAATATATATTATTTTATTTAGCGTAATTACAGTTACACAATCGTCTATTCCTTCTTTTTTTAATTTAAACATGCCTTTTTTTAACTTTAAACACTAATACTGTATAATTTGTATATTTACAAATTTAAAGAAATATACATGTATAAAAAAGATTTTAACTACAGGGGAACTTGGATAAGGCCGAGATTGTCTTTTCTTTTACACTGGCTGATATCGATTTTTTTTTATTAAGTTGAATTCCCGAGTGTTTTAGCATAACTCTCTTTGAAATATTTAATAATTAAAAAATGCACAGATAGACTAAATTATTTTTGAGAAATTAAAAGAAAATAACTGTTTTTAGCAAAACTTTTCGACAACAGATCTTACATGTCTTCTCGAAAGGGTTCGGGAGAATTGCTATTATTAGGTACATGAAGTTGCCAAAATAAAAAAAAGACATTCTATCTTAGTTCAAAATATAGTGTCTGCAAAATTACTTTCTTTATTCCATGTTATGCGAAACAATCCCACACAGTTAAGTACATATGGTTATCAGATCTTCCAACCATTAATTCTCGATTAGGAGCAATATGTGCTCAGCATGTATTCTTTAGGTCTATGGAGGTATCACATTGCCCATCCTGCAGAAGTCGATCGCCATTGATAGAATGCTAAGGTTTTCTTGGCATGTTTCCTTTCTTGGAAAGGATATCTATCTATATTGCTAAAATCAACTTTTAAAAATATTTAACAAAAATAAAATAATTAATAAGGAAAAAGCAATACTGATAAAATAATTAATTGGGTTTAAAACAAAAGTACAAAACTAATTATTAAGAAGCCTTTGCACCCATTCTTTTTTTCGGGGGGGGGGGGGGGGGGGGGGGGGTTATATTTATCAAATACTGAAAAAAGTAAATTAAAGAAAAAGAAAGTTATAAAAATTATTAATTGTAGTAAACTAAATCGTTAGTAGAAATAAGCTGTCTTTCAATTTTTTATTTACGTTTTTCCATATAATTTTATTTCCCTTAGTATAAATTAACTTGGGGTACGATGAACTTGTAATTCTTGAAGTACTGCACGTCGAATTATGGGGAAAAGGGTACGAAATTCCCGGAAGTCGGCATCATTTCCTGATTAAACAAGAGGGAGGAGGAGTACGAAATGGGTAGAGGTATCACACCGGTAATTTACCAATCAAAATGAACTTAGTCAAATATAGGTCGATACATATCAAATTGATTTTCTTTTCTTTTGAGACGTTTTTCTATTCTCTCCCAAGCCATTTTTACAAATTTGGTACCTGTGTCTAGTAAATTTTATGTACTTTATGAACAAATAAAGGTTATTGAAAGGACCTTTTTTCCGGGCATGGGAGGCTACTACCTGTGATGCACTCGGAATGTTTATAAACACATTAAAAATCGCGTGGATTTGAGGTAGCCCTGTTTGCAAATGGAAAAAGAAAATGCCGTGTAGGTACCGTTTTGTGTGTAAGAATGTGTCAGCTATTGTGACAGGTAATGTTTAACATCTCCTGCTAAATATTTCTTTCAAGTAAACAATTACCTGATTCTTTTTTTACGATTTTTTTGTGAAAACATTTACCGTTGTGATACCTAGACACAACCTAATTGGCTATGTTAGTATTTTCATTTTAATGTAAAAGTATCACTGATAGAAATAAATGGAGGAATGTATCAAGTTTATTTTTCTTTAATCAAAAAAGCTGAAAACCTAGGATCCACCCTCCTGAAATCGAAATCTGCTGCCGTAAACTGTATTGCCAGCGTTTGGGGAATATGGGTGATTTTTATCAATTACACTTTTATTGACTTCATCGGTGTGCGTCAATCGGACAAGATTTCTTTGCATGTAAATGTTTACTGTTCATATTTTTGTTATATCCTGAAAAATAAACATTTTGAATAATGTATTAATTAATATACTGTCACATGAAATAATTATACATGCATATGCGATACATGTAGTAGTAGAGTATATGTAAAACATGTAAATAGTAAAATGGAATAAACTTCAATGGATTTACATTATTGACAATTTCTCAGAGGTCAGCTTGCGCTTTCAGGTTTGATAGATAATATATCTAGATGCTTACAAAATTTAAGAATAACAGTCTTAGTAATTAAGATCAGATGTATAACACCCAATACACCATTATCGAATACAAGTCGTAAATAATAAAATGCAGCTAGGAATAGAAAATACAGGCATATAAAAAGGAAGGCGATATATATTTTTTCTATTTAAAATGATTTACATTATTTGAGTTTTTAAAATTGAAAGTTCAAAACATTTTTTATCAGTATTGCTTTGGCGTTAGCTTTTTCTAAAGTCTATTTTTGTATTTTTTTGACCTCATGGTGTTAGTGTCGATAGATCAACTAAAAAGAATAAAAGTCCATGATTTTTATCACATCTTTGAAACCTCAATTTCGGTTACTGCTGCATGAGAAGATAATGTTTATGCAATTGCAGCAAAGTACCCAGGTAGCACAAAACATTTTCAAAACATTTTATTGGTATTGTAAAAAGTTTTTTTCAAAACATTTCAGACTAAACATTTTAAAAATGTTTTTAAAACATTTCTTTTTCTCGTTATAACATTTTAAAAACATTTTTAAATGTTTTCAAAAAGCTTATGATTAAATCCTTTGGGAACATTTTTCTAAAATATTTTTGAAACGTTTTAAAAATGTTTCAAAAGGTATGTTTAGCTTTCAAATATCAAAGATTTTTATATTACGTTTTAAAAACGTTCTTAAAACATGAAATGAAACATTCCTTTTCCATAAATCTGAAACATTGCATAAATACGTCTCTGAAACATTTGGAAGGAACGTTGTCAAAATGTTTTTGAAACATTCTTAATTCATTTAAGGGTTTTTATAGCTTCCAAATATCAAAGATCTTATAAAACGTTTTAAAAACGTTCTTAAAACATGAAATGAAACATTCTTTTTCTGTAAATCGGAAACTTTGCATATACGTTTCTAAAACATTTGTAAGGAACATTTTAAAAATATTTTTAAAACATTCTTAATATCGCTGTTAGTTAAAAACATTCAATTCCGGATATTTTTCGGCCTAGGCAGTGAAAATGTTTATTTAAAACATTAACTAAAATAATTATTTTCACTACAATTGAAACATTTTTATTAAAGTTTTGACATTTTTTGGAAACATTTTCAAAATGTTTCTGAAACATTTATGTAATTGCAGCACAATTTAATTCGTTTAGTAACTTTAAGAGTATGTTGTGAGAATGATTTAAGAACATTCAATTTAATGTGTTTTTTTTTTTTTAAAGACTTCATTTTTCATTGCTGCTGTTGTTTTCAAAATGTTCTTAAAACATTCAAATAATGTATTATTGCGATTTTTCTAAAATTTAGTTTATGAAGAAAAAAAAGCATATATAGAAAGAATAGTGTTAAAATGAGGAATTGTAGTTATTTTTTAATTGAAAGATTTTTTTGCGGTATTTTATAATGATTTCTAGTTTTGGCTTATTGATAAAACAGACATAATTTATATAAAGTCCTTTGATGACACAAATAAAAAAATCAATAAATGAAAGGATAGACAAACAAAAAATTTAAAATATAAATAAATGTATAAAATCATAAGCATTAAATAAAAATCTTAATGTCTTTTTAAAAAAAAATGCTCTTCATCAAATCTGTGATCCACTCCCAGAATTTTACTCTGAGGCATTAGATAGGGATTGGCACACTGGTCAGTTTCAGTGTCATGATAACCTCTTATGCAATTCTCCTGCTGGGCAGCGCGTTACAGAGTATAGTGGTTTGCTGCTTATCTAGGCCAAATTTTGAATTCTGGTAAACAAGATGTGCGCGCTTACTCCGTGCCGATTTGAATGAGAAGACTTTGCACCATATACACCACAATAATAACCTCGGGATTTATTAACTTTGAATGGTAAGAATTATTCCTTTATCATAGACTTTAAAAGATCATTTAAAATTACTTTTATACTACCAGTGTATGATCAACAATAACTTTGTACAAATGTATGTAGCAATGACAAAGCGTTAAGGTTATATAGCTGCATTTGATTTGAATATTTCATTCTTAAGGCAACACAAATATATCCTTGATTCAATTATTCGTTGTCTTTGTGAAATGTTAATCATCAAACAATATGTTGATTTAAAAATGAAATTTCTTTACAGCATGGTGTTGGTTGCATCATCCGTATTTTCAAATTCCCACATTCAAAAGACCCGCCTTTGGTGAAGGCAAAGGTGTACGTAAATACTATTACTCTTCAATAATATTGTTCTGCTTTTTTCAATGCAAATGAGGAAAGAACTTAAATTTGATATAATTATTTAAAATATTTTTTGTATATTTTCATTTATTATCTTAAGATACATTAGATGTAGAACGCTGATACAAACACAATTTTCCTTATCTTTACAGATTGTGCTATTCTCTCCGAGGGGCAGTATCTTATCAGCCTTTTCAGTGTATGTGATTCTAACTAAGTCTTATAGATCCGCCGCTCTGTTCTACCTATACCATGTTTACAGTGAACATAGGATTTCTGTGATTCTGTTCTTTTAAAATTCAGTGAATGGATTAGACGCCGTTTTCAACCTTTAAAAACCCGGTGACTTATAAAATAAATTAAAACTTGTACCGAGAATGGAATTTAAATGTGATTAACATATTGAATATGGGTTTGTATGAAAGATTCAAAAATTAAATATAATTTGTGTTTATTTCTTTTAAAATATAAATATTTCATTATTTAATGAGATAAAGTAAAAATTCGGGAAAAATACTTTCGTAACCTCGACTTGAATGTTTTGAAAACGTTTTAAAAACCAAACCAATTAAACGTGAATAAAACATTTTTGAAATTGTTTTTGTTACATTTAAAAATAATGTTATGATAACATTTGTTGAAATATTTTGTAAAATGTTTTAAAAACATTTAAAAAAACCATACAAAATCACGTGATTAAAACATTGTTGTAAAATGTTTTTGTGACATTTTAAGAAAATGTTCCGGAAACATTTGCTGAAATATTTCACTAAAATGTTTTAAAAACGTTTAAAAAAAACATACAAATACACGTGATTAAAACATTATTGAAAATGTTTTTGCAACATTTTAAGAAAATGTTCTGACAACATTTTGCTGAAATATTTCACTAAAATGTTTTAAAAACGTTTAAAAAACCATACAAAATCACGTGATTAAAACATTTTTAAAAAATGTTTTCGCAACATTTTGAAAATGTTTTAAAAACATTTTAAAAATGTTTTTGTGTTAGCTGGGTATATGTTACATAACAAAATGTAAATAGGGCGACCTGTGATTTTGTCGGGCTTAGATTTTGATGGTGAAAAAATGTGAACTTACAGCTTGATTTAGGTCAGAATATTATGACATGGCCGCAGCTCTATCCAATACAAGGGGTTGATTACAAATGTAACAGCGGGGACTCACGCATCGGAAAAGAAAATGATGAAATGATAAGAAACACACCATCTCAATTTTCTCTCACAACAACTTATTGACGCTAATTCATTCATTTATCTTGAAAACAATGAATTTGTTTTCAAGTTCTGTGTGAAAACAGTTTATTTTTCCGTTTCCCGTTATTTACCCCAAATGATGATTTGTGTGTAAGGCAGTTTTGAAATTGGCGGCATCGGATATTTGCATTGTGCCCAGTGGCTTATTCACTTCAAAGTCGCAGAGAACACGAAGCAAGTTAGGGAAAGAAAACCAAGTTAGACTGCCCCTCAATAAGTGATCGCAATTATTTCAGGAGTGGTTTAAGTGACGATTGGATATAAAAGTGACTGTTTTCTGATGAATGGAGAAATAACTAAACACAGACCAAACATTGAATAATAAAGGTAAATTTTCAATTATATATGTATATGTTACGATAAGTGTAATTAAGGTAGTGTCTGGCATATGAATTCTATCCTTATCTACAGTTACATGAGGATTTCGATCTTTGGTCAAGGTGGTTGCTTTATTGTGTGAAATGCCAAACACTTTAGCGATCATTTTATTTGTAGTAAAACTACCTGCATGTACATGTCATCATTTACCTCTCTGAACTCCCCTTTTGGCGTCAGTAATTAGTGTTTAAATTGCAAATGTACTGTCTGAACTAATCTGAATTCAAAATCGTGTTTAATGCAAAAGTATATGATCTGGATTTATATGAGAAAATTGACATCATCCTCAAATAAAATTCATCTTGTCTCAGTTTGTCTAACTGTGTGTGTAGACTGGGGGTATATATACGTGTTCTTTAGATGAATGAAATTTCCATACGAAAAACCAACGGAAAGACTATTTTTCGATTTTACAAAAATTGTGCAAGCACCACTGCTCGACTGTGGTCAGCTACATGTAATCCGGCATGCTTAAAGAAATAAATGCCCATGGGTTTTGAAAAATTTAAAGTTTAAAAATTTAATTATATGAGATGATTTACGAGTCTAAAAATTTTATCAATAGGTCAACTATGGATTTGTTCAAAATATTGCGGCCAGATTTCCTTTGGACATGTTGGAAATGCATTCAGCTAGTGTTCAATGGCATCAGCCATAAGGAAAGCATAGAAGTGGAGCTTCGGTCAAAGAAAGTAAACGTGATGGATGTGTTTGAAATCAAATTGTTCGACAATAATCAAGAGAGGGACTTGCCTCCTTCTCCATTTTTTCCTTCTCGGATATAGACTGGACAATACAATTTTCAACGTTCTTTGAGATATTGTTTGTGACGTCAACATGCTACTGCATGCGCATTGAACCCCCTCCGCTCGTTGAATACGGCTTGAAATCCGTCAAAAAACTGTATGCGTTTGTATAGATTATATGTTGTTAATTTTTTTTAAAGATTAAATAATAATGTATTACATCATTAGTATATTGAGATAAAAATGTCCCTCGAAAGTCTTCTTTGTAACATGTATGTTTCTTTCCTGTAAAAAGTGTATATTGTATAAATTTCTTTTTAGAGGAAATTAACCCTCTGATGGTCTGCTGTTTTCTATATATAATGTTATTTTCTTACTGCAAATAATGACTGTAAAATCTAGTATGTTAATGATGGTTGCTTCGGCTTTGAAATACTGAATGTGCAATGAACCAATGTGAATTTAGAGAGGAAATTTACCCTGTAGATTTTTTCTATTTTCAAACTGTAAATGTTAGTAGGTAACACTGTATCACTGATACTCTTTGGGGGGAAATTGATTCCGTAAACATGGTAAAATCAAATACGGCTCGGTTTCAAATACTGAATGTACAATGCACCAATGTCATTTTTGAGAGGATATTTACTCTGTAGATTTTGTTTACTTGAAAATATTAACGTTTTATAGATATGTTGAAAACTGTACATGTGTATCAGTGCTATACTTTGGGAGGGGGGGGGGGGTATTTACTCCGTAAAGTTAAGCTGTCTAAAAGACCCAATATATACTGTATCAATGTCATTTTTGATAGGACACTTACTCTTGTGCTAATTTCAAATTTTAATTGTAGTAGTAAACACTGTATGAGTGATATTCTTTGGGAGGAAATTTACTCCGTAAAATCTACAAGCTATGTAAACGATGGTTGCGTTGGCTTTCAATGAATGTACATTGCACAAATGTGAATTTAGAGAGGAAATTTACTCTGTAGATTTTTATTACCAAACTGTAATGTTAGTAGTGAACACTGTATCAGTGAAATTCTTTGGGAGGAAATTTACCCCGTGAAGTTTTGTTATATAAAGGCTATTTGCTTTTGAATTGACTACTGTATGTTTACTGTATGAATGCCATTTTGAGAGGAAATTTACCCTGTAGATATTTGCTATTTTCATATTGAAATGTAGCTGTGAACACTATATCAGTGATAGTCTTTGGGAGGAAATTTACTCCCTAAAATCTAGCTGTGCACACGATGGTTGCTTTGGCTTTGAAATACTGAATGTACAATGCACCGACGTGCATTTTGAGAGGATATTTACTCTGTAGAGTTTTTTCCTATTTTAAAATGTAGTGGTGAACATCGTATCAGGGATATTCTTTGGGAGGAAATTTACTCCGTAAAATCTAGGTATGTAAACGATGGTTTCTTTTGCTTTGAAATACTGAATGTGAAATTAACCAATGTGAATTTAGAGAGGAAATTTACCCTGTAGATTTTTGCTATTTTCAAATTGTAATGTTGTAGTGGTGAACATCGAATCAGTGATAGTCTTTGGGAGGAAATTTACTCCGTAAAATCTAGGTATGTAAACGATGGTTTCTTTGGCTTTGAAATACTGAATGTACAATGCACTAATGTGAATTTAGGGAGGAAATTTACTCTGTAGAATTTTTTTCTATTTTGAAATGTAGTGGTGAACAATGCATCAGTGATTTTCTTTAGGAGGAAATTTACTCCATAAATTCTAGCTATGTTAATGATGGTTTCTTTGTATTAAAATACTGAATATGCAATGAACCAATGTTAATTTAGAAAGGAAATTTACCCTGTATATTTTCGCTATTTTCAAAGTGTAATTGAAGTGGTGAACACTGTATCAGTGATATTCTTTGGGAGGAAATTTACTCCGTAAAATCTAGGTATGTGAACGATGGTTGCTTTGGCTTTGAAATACTGAATGCACAATGCACCAATGTGAATTAAGAGAGGAAATTTACTCTGTAGATTTTGTGCTATTTTCAAATTGTAATTGTTGTAGTGAATACTGTATCAGTGATATTCTTTTGGAGGAAATCTACCCCGTAAAATCTTGTAATATCAAGGATAGTCGCTTTTGAATTGACTACTGTATGTTAACTGTATCAGTGTCATTTTTGAGCGGAAATTTACCCTGTAGATTTTTATCTTTTTCAAATTGTAATGTGGTAGTGAAAACTGTTTCAGTGATAGTTTTTGGGAGGAAATTTACTCCGTAAAATCTAGCTATGTAAACGATGTTTTGCATTCTTTAAACTTTTGATATTCATCAATAAATATCTTGTAAACTGTGTTATTTGTTGAGTTTTGTCAATACCTAAGGGCAAAATGCTTAAAACAGAAAAAAAGATTTTCTGTTTTGATTTTGGAATGCGTTAAATGTACATGAATGTTTATAATATTTACCTATGATTATCTGAAGTATTAGGAAGACAAGTATACAATAATTAAAATTGTCATTAATTAAGCTTGCCCTCCAATTTGTATATTTTTGTAAATACTCTAAGAAATGTAATGTGATACTAAATAGAAAAGCGAAGTGCCAAATGTGATCTTATTAGAGAAAGAGAAAACAGTCCGTATATTATTACCACTTGTATATTATACCCCCCCCACCTCCGCAAACGAAGTTTGGGGAGGGGTATTTAGGAATCACCTTGTTAGAATGTGTAATAAAAATCTTTTATCAATGCAGGATACAACTGAATTGATTGATAAATTGCGTCGCCAGTTTCCTAATACATCGAATTTATCACGGTACATCACAGACAAAAACGTTTATTGTGCAGATTTCACTTTACCTCTCCATGAAATAGAATCTTGTTTTTTCAAGATAGCTTCCCAAAAAGAATGGAGCAAAGATATTCCAAAAGAATGGCTTTTCTTTGGAATAGAAATT